GTCCAAATAGATGACTAGTCTTCAAGTATCATAATTAGAAGGACGTGTTTGGTGTTTATGGAATTATATAGATGTGGGGAAGTAATTTATGCATGGCATGACCTAATGAAGTGATGTATGAAAAAGATGCGCAATAATTAATAACCCACCAAAAGAAAAGAAAAAAGTGCAATAATAATGTTGAAGTTTTACTCTAAAACTATGTCCACCAAGACCATGAGGCCCCCCATTCTTCACAAGCTAAAGAAGATAATCAAATTGAACAAATGAATGCTAATTCATGTCTAAAATCATGACAAGAACAAATCAAAAGAAGATATAATGATTGTGATGATTTAGGAGGCGTCTTTTCTGGACTACTTTCGCTGAGTTTGAGGACCTCTCAGCGTTTCGTGATGGGGTGCCAATGATCCACGGACCCCCAAAACATAGATTTCGAGTTCTTTTTTTTATTTCTTTTCTCTGATTATGAATGCTTCAAGGATGTGACTGTTTTTACCATGAAAGTGTGAATCACATTGAAAGCTTGTTCCCCTAAACCCAGATGTTTGGGGAAACAAAAGTTCTATTGTCATTTTCATGATCAAGTAAAACGTTTTCACTTTTCCTTTTACCCCTTTGGTTTTTGTGTTTCACCCAATTCGATCCGCCATCCAGATTGTCCACTAATTATCATAACAAGATAAAGCATGTTCAGGCAGAGATACGATCTTCTACTTGTTTCTTTTGTTATAATTTCAAGTTTATTTTGAATTTGATGCTTAAGCGTTTCGGATTTAGATTTTAATATTTTGGAGTTTGTATTAGAAATAAATAAATAAATAGAAGTCTAAAATATTAGAAATACAATGAACACCAAGTACAAAATTCGAATCCTAACCCAACTAACATACACTAGGGAAAAGATTCCTTTTGTTGCCGGTTTGTTTTCCTCTTAATAAAATTATTCAAATGCTGTCGTTTTAATTAAATCAACATTTTTGGAATGTTTCCTTATGGTTGCTCATGTTATACTGTAGTTTATAATCTTAGTAACAAAATATATTCATGATAAGAATTCGGCTCTCGTCTCAGTAGTTATAAACTTATAAGACTTGAGCCTCGTTTCGACAAAATACAAATATAGACCTTTCAGAACCCAAAACTGGAAAAGATACGTGCTTCATATGGTTTAGTTCATACGAAAAGTTTGGCTGATAGAGAGAGAAAGCGATGCATCAACTACCCATAATTGTGAGGAGGAAGAAAAGTGGTGGGAGGCGATGTCGGCCATACTTGTCTTGTCTCCCACAGTCAAAGAACTTATACTTTGTTTAGCTCATTCAAATATGTTCCAAGGATTTCAACGACTGCTTTATTTATTATTATTTTTTGGTGCATCTGAGAAAAGCCCACAAGCATACTTTTCCCCCCTTTTGATTGTTTGTGAATGAATGAAAGGAAAAAAAAGAAAAAAAAAAAGAAAGAATGAAAGGTACCCAACTACACCTTTTCCACACTGATCAATTGGCCCCCCACACCACATCCTTTCAGATTTCAGTATTTTCATGGCCGACTTCCTACCACGTTTTAATTTCCCATTTTTCCCCCTATTGAACAATACGTTTAAAGCTTTAAAAATTAAAAATAAAAACCATGCAAAAGTGTATATAATTTATTCCAATGCATTATATGTTCAGTTGTTGGTTGGTTATATATATATATATATTGTTGATTTTGAGATATGATCTCAGTGAACTAATTTCTATTTTGGGTATACTTTGTTTTGTTTTCTTCCTTTGTATCATAGAAATAGTATGTTGTTTTCTTCCTTTAGGTTGTTGAACCTTTGCTCCACTGCCAACATAATAACATCATAGAGCACTGGCCGACCTCAAGATGAACCAATTTAGCCCCTTTTGAAAGAAAAACTTAAGAAAAGATACTTCCAACTCATTTCCTTGGCACCCTTATGAGACGTCAATTCGTTATCGTGCTTAACGGTTAATTTTGAGCTTTGACTAAAGACTTACAAAAAAAATTAACATTAACTTTTAGTTTCTCTTTTGGGAAATTGTTCAAATGCGCATGTACGAGTTCAAATATCATGAACTAGAACTGTTCAAATGCAGAATTTAGTAAGTGAAAAAGAAAATTTCATGGAGGAGGCTTTAGATTGCTTGGTAATTAAGATCTAGGACCATCTCCTCGTATGCCATAAATATGATGGTGATCTTTGGTGCCGCATTATCTTCTGACTTGGCTTGGCTAGGTGTGAGCACATGCTGCTGAGGTCTGACCAAATTTACAATAGTTGCTTGCTACAAAGTCACTTTGAGCTTTGTGCTTATTTGTGTGGGGCTTGTAGAAAAAGGGGCTACTTCACCAGGTCCAGATTTGACAATTGACAAGAGATGTTTGTCTCCTTAAAGACGTGAAATCTTCATGTAGGCCCTCATGGGTGTGGTTATAGAATTGAAACTCAATACTTGACACATAAACACTAATAATGAAAATGTTTTAAATAGAGAATTATCAATAAAGGATCCCGAGCCTCTGTATTTAGAGATGATGTATTTACTCGCATTTCATAAAATTTGGACAATTTATCTAATCCAATGGTTGTGAGTATGCCACATCAGCTACAAAGACACAAGAGAGAAGAACCAAGAGAGCGGTAGGCGAGACTGGAGATGGAGGGATTTTTGTTGTTGTCAAAGGCACTAACAACGTTAGTTTTTAAAAAAGAAAACAAACTTACTGTAGCTGATGTGGTGTATTCACAAGCATTGAATTAGATGAATGGTCTAGATTTTATAAAATGCGTGTAAATGCACAATTCCTAACTGCGGAGTCTTGAGATCCATCAACAAATGGGAAAGATTTATGTAAATGTTTTGTTTTAAATTTTAATTCATATTTCTTTGCTGACCACAATCAAAGTAAAATTGGTTTATGTTAAAATTCATGAATAGTTCATTACTTGACAGTTTATTCATGATTGGTTACTTGGAAAAGTCAAATACAATTAGGTAAGAATGACCTCAAAAATGCTGAAATTTATTTTCTTATGATTTGACAAATTAATTTTGGTAAGATCGGATTATGGTTACTTTTAAGAAACGACGTCCCAACCATATATATTAAAGTAGTTACTTTTTTCTTTACAAACTCTACTATTTTTTTTTCCCAACACATAACATGATGGTCAGTATCAAGGATTGCGAGCTGAATATGATCCTATATATTATATATATTTGTACTGGAGTGGTAAACCATTTTCTACTTTCAGTTAACAACTAATGTTGCATATGAATTAGATCTGAAATTTGGGATAATAGTTGATGTTTCTACAACTAATTTTAGTGTGTTTAATTCTCATGATCGGATTGATAGATCAATCACGCATGCATGTAAATTTTTGTTACAAATAAATATTGGTAGAAATGATTGTATACAACTACTTACTAGTTAGTGTAATAAGTGAAGTGAAGTGACTGCTAAGTAAACTGTTTTACACGTTTTGAAAAACTCTAGCCGCTAAGAGAGAGAGAGAGCTTCAGATTTGAGGAAACTATGGCAGTAGATAGGAGTTTTAGAGAATTTATTTTTTGAGAGTGATTCTTTTCAGATCATTTTCAGCTTTTTGACTAGCTCAAGTAATTAGAAAAGCTTTGTCCATGTATGCACTGGCGGATCTAGTAAGGCGCAAGGAGGTGCAGCTGCACCTCCCTTAGCCGGAAAAACCATTGTAAGTACTTCAAATTGCCCCTTTGCTCAACTGTTGTACAGATTACCTTATTTCATCTTCAACATTTAAGTAAATGTCTTTATCCTTTTACTTTTATTTATTTTTATATTACTCCATTTACTTAAGTTTACAATGTAAATAAGGAAGTACCCCCCATTTGTATTAAAATAAAAATACTAGAAAATCAAATTCCCACCAAATCGAAATATGAAAATTCGGTTTTAGTGCAAAATATGATTTAGGCTAAAAATGATGGCTCATTAAGTCAATATATACTAAAATCCCATAAAATCAAGTTTTCTTATTTGATGTGTAAGGAATAAAAGCCGCCAAAAATTATCTTGAGAAAATGATTATTCCGAAAAACCATTTTTCATACTTAGTCAATATTGTACCTCTGCTAAAAATTTTCTGGATCCGCCAGTGCATGTATGCCGTACTGCTATTAGGATGACTCCTTTTACAGTGTTTTTCCTTTATACTCTTTTTATCCGTTTATCTAATAAACTTCTATTACTTTTTATAAAAATAAAAATAAAAATAAAAATTACACGTTAGTAATACGGGAAGTGAGAGAGAGATGTTCATGGTTGAATAATTGCACCCCGACAATTGAACAGTGTAAAACTCCAATTAAAAAGAGAGAGACAATCTATCGTTACTCAAACCACATCTTTACTTTCAAATTTCAATCTTTCATCAAAGGATATTGACACTTTATGGGCTTATGGGACCCAATGAGTTTTGACTCGTGATCTTTCATATTCCAAGAAGGTCGAAAAAATCCCTAAAGTTTATCTGTCTAGTGAATGATATGATTAGGCAATGAGATTGAAGAAGAATTATAAACAACAACAGAAAATTATCTGTACGGTATGTATTTAATTACTATTTCCCAATTAATGAAAACTACGTGGGATTTTTGGTTGAATATTTATATGAAACCATAACCAATAAATCGACCCAAAATAATAATAATAATAATAATAATAAAAGCACAATCTTACTAATACTAAAAATTCCCAGGAAAAACATCAAACACCTGACAAAACTATTTTACATGCACTCATAATAATTAAGAAAAAGCAGGCACCCAACCTTCTTGAAACCCAATTCACTGCCTCACTTTCAAAACTATCGTAAGTTCATAACACATGTGCCTCTCTCTCTCTCTTGTTTGTTTCTTTCATCTTATCATAATCTAAATTTATTTCTTCGGGTACGTTTGCAAATCAATTGATTAATGAAAAGAATGAAGCTGCATCATTACTTAATAGCTCCAAAGGAGACTTTCTCCACCGTCTGAGTTTCCCGGCGAGTCGTCATAATCTGAAGGCGGCGAGTCGTTCATCCGCGGTGGAGACACCAGCATTCCCTCTGCCATGTCCATCAGTAAATTCGGCATCCCGAAAATCTCTTCCTCGTCCACGAAGTCTCCCACAGAAGACGACGCCAAATTTATACTATTACTCACCGTCACATCGTCCTTATCATCCTTCTGCCTCTGTCCCGGGCTCTCTCTGGAGTCACCATTCTTTCGTAGTGTCGCCGCTGCAGCAGCTGCGGCACTACAAATATCTTGTGCCGAAGTGGATGCTGGCACTGGATACGATCCAATGAAACCGGGAAAGTTGAGAACAACATCGGCACCTTTCAGAGCGAGTGCGGCCACATCATAGGCGGCCGCAGCCATCTCCGCGGTTGGGAAAGTGCCAAGCCATATTCTCTTGGTCTTGCGTGGCTCCCGGATTTCAGAAACCCATTTCCCGCCGCGGCACCGGATGCCACGGTACGTGGGGTGCTTCCCGGAAGAGGTTGAGGCCATGGTGGTGGGCTTTGGTACTGTGTCAACCTCTAGTGCTCTTGTGGAGGGAGAGGGTGTTTCAGTAAGTTCACACTTATGGTGTTGAAGAGAGAGAAGAGAATATGGGGTGTGCGGAGGAGGAGGCTGAGGAGGAAAGGGTTGGTGTGTTGGGGGAGGAGGGTGAAAGTCAAGGGAGGCTACAGTTGGTGTGGATTGGTCTAATAATATTTGTCGCACGTTAGTAAGAGAATTTGGAGAATTTGGATTTGGGTCAGCCATGGTGTGTGTGTATATATATATAGCTAGGTGTGTGTGTGTGTGTGGATATATGTAAAGGTCGTGTGGGGATTTTAGAAGGAAGGTAAGATATTAATTCTATGTCTGCGTACGATTATATATATGTGTGATTAGAAAGGTAAAAGCGTGGGGATTTCGTGGGAAGGTCTCGCTCAAAAGTCGTGGCATGCACTCAGTTGAGTTACAGGCTTTTAGAGTTTTTGAATACGACACTTGGTGCTGAGAGTACTATGGAAAGTTTAATGCTTTTGATTTTGGAAAGTTTTTTGTGTGCAAAATTGCTGTGTGCGCTTTTTGGCGAGCACACGCATTTGCCCAAGCTAGCAATTAGCTGTTCCGGATTTCTAAGTTGGCTGATGGGGAAAGAATTGGAAGCATCCAAGATCAAGTCAACAAACAAGGATCAATTTGATGCCATGATTTAACATAACATTGTGAGATTTGCCTAATATTAGGAGCCTTACTATTCTAAAATGCAATGAATTATTAGGTTGTTGCCCAATCAAGTACACCACACAGAGATATTAGCATCCTGTTGGAGATAAAAAAATCTTAGCAATTTACAGTAGCAGCTATGATGGTAGAAAAACTTGTATGAAATGGGAATAACACATGGTATGCCATGATTGATTGAAAATAGTAAAATAGTATTATCCCGTTTCACACAAGTGTTTCTCCTATTATAAGCCGCATGTTCTCCTGCTCTCCTCGAACTTTCTTTTTTGCTTCCCAAATTTCTCTTGGGATTCCATTCATTTCATTTTTTTTTCGGTCTTAGAGCAACTCCACCCATTTGCCCATTGTCATGACAAGGGGGGAGCTAAGGCAGCCACTATTCACATGAATAGTGGTTGCCCTTGCAAATAGTATTGTGTGTTTCCACCCGTTGCCATGGCAAAGGGCAATTACTATTCAAATTTTTTTTTTTCCACAAATTTGTTTACTTAAACAATTAATTTGGATAATATTTTCGGATAAGATTTTTGGGTTCGTACATGTCAATATTTACTATAAAATTCATATCTCAATCGGATAAAATTTTGGTATTTATAGAAAAAAAAATCAGTAATTTTTTGTATTTAAAAAAAAAAATCGATATTTTTTTCATTTTTTTATTGCACAAAAATTGGCTATCGTTGGATTGGAGAAAAAAATTCTGATTGGAGAGCCCAGAGTGCGATATGTGGACTTTAGCGGTACTGTAGCGAGTAGCACTGTAGCACCACTGTAGCACGTGGGCACTGTAGCGATGAAGTCAGCAACAGCCCTCGGGCTGAACTATCCTGAGGACCAGCCCGACTTCGTGGGACCCACTTCCAGCCCGGGCTTGGGCTGTCCACTGGAACACCATTTTTTTTTTCTACCCCCGCCTTGGGCTCAGCCCTCCACTGGAACTGCTCTTAAGATCACCAAAAAACATGCCCTGTTCTCGTTTCTTCACATATAGTTGTTCAGTCACATGTCGTTTTTGGTCATGGTGATTGTGGCTGACAATAAATAAATAAATCGCTTGGACGCTATTTGGCCAACAAGGTGCCCTTATCTTTATGCATGGATCTCCCAGCACACTAGGGCCCTGGCTGTCTCACACATGATTTTATACTTAAATTGGGTCACTTCCCTTTAATGGTATATCCTTAATCGAATTGGTCCTTTCGGGTAATAGCAAAATGATATTAGAGGGACATGAGTCTTTCCCTATAAAAACTAATATTTAAATTAGGTGTTTTTTGGTGGTTGTTATTGATACTTCAAAATATATAGTGATTTTGTATTATTTATATAGGGTTATTTACTCAAATGGTCCTCAAATAATTTAGTTGAGGGATCAAAATACAACTCAAGTATAAATTTGAAGACTATTTGAGTAAATAATCCTATTTCTATCAATGAAACAAATAATTAAGGAAGAGATGAGTGATGAGTGCAAAATGACTTTTTTTAAAAATAAAAATAAAAAAAAGTTTAGGGGAGGGAGAGGCTACCCCTACACCCAGGGCCAGGGCAAACTTCAGACCTTTACTAGGAAGGACTTACGCAAATGCCTCTACGCCATGCAGCCACCTATATGGATTTACAGAGGAATTTTACAAATTACCCACCAAACATAGGACTGTTGGCAGCGAGACTCAAACACTAATGGGTGTCACATACAAAATGACTATTTTGAAGTGCTAGAACAAATTTTTTATATTATATATATATAAATATTTATTGATCAAATTCAACATGTTATAGCATGTAACATTAAGGAACAAAGTTAACCTCTCTTGGACTTGAAAAAGAGTTGGGTGGTTACACTTTTGAGGTACCTCCCTATTTCGGTGGGCCATTATTTGTTTGAGGATTTATGGTCTCTAGGCTCAAGATGATAGTTGTTTGTTTTTTTGTTAAAATTCGGCCCACCGTATAACAAGTAGATTTTGTGTCTTTAGGTGAAGATGAGCGACCCATTCCCGGCGCCGGCTGGCATCTTTGTAAAAGTACAATGTGTCGAAACGGGATCCTGTTGTAAACACCATGGTCCTCAGAGCTAGCGCAATGTCCATATCACCAGAAAAGGAAACCGCTCCAAATCCACTGCTGTACGGGCCACGCCTTGTTACCTCCAGCTCATCAATCAACTCCATGGCCCTTTAGGAAGGTAAATTGCAAAAGGGAAGAAAGTAAAAGTTAACTGGCACCACTAACAGTTCCAACAGGCAATGCAGGTCGCAGGGCATCCCAGCAAGTGAGATCATCGTGCACGAGAGATTGTGACATTTTCACTGAAAGCAGATTCTAAGTAATTCTATACTAAAAACAGATTGTAAAAGTAATTTTTTCCTTAACTATGTAACATTTAGAAACCAAAACATTTGGATATGAGTGCACATTGTGATCAAAGGAAGGAGAAGAGTGTTAAAGGAAAGAAATATGTCAATGATTCTATATTAAGTGAGAAATATGTCAATGATCCTATATTGAGAGATTGTAGGAATAGATTGTAATTAGCTTAGAATTAGCATGTATTTACCTAGAATAGAAGTATCAACCTCGTATAAAGATTTGAGTCTGTAAGCAATACAGATATTCAATTCAATACAATATCAAATTGTTTCATGGTATCAGAGCACTACTCTTGGTGACTCTGCCCAAGCACCTTCCGACACTACCATCTTCTGCTCAAACACCTTCCGCCACAGCCACCATCGACACAGCATCATGGGTGAATCAACTCTCACAGAGCCGAAGACCACCGTCCACACGACTCGCTCGAGTTACACAACTCAGACACACCAGAACTCTCCTTGGTTAACTTCAAATTTGAAGGCCATAACTATGGTCAATGGAGTCGATCTATGCACCTTAGCCTCAGCTCCAAGAACAAGCTTGGATTGATTGATGGATCAGTCAAAGCCCCTTCACCAAATGACTCAAAATTCCCACAATGGCAGCGCTGCAATGATATGGTTCTGTCATGGATTTTTCATGCTCTCCATCCAGACAGCCAGTAGTGTCCTCTATGCCAAAATGGCAGCAGCTGTATGGACAGATCTCTAAGAACGTTTTTCACAAAGCAACGGTTCTAGGATCTATCAGATTCGACAAGAAATTGTTGAGTGTCGACAAAGATCAAAGCTTATCTCCATGTATTATACAAAATTGAAAGCACTTTGGGATGAGCTGGGTTCTTACCAGGAGCCTCTTGTTTGTGATTGTGAAGGGCTGAAGAAACTTGTAGAGAGAGAGGAAAAAGAAAGAGTGATGCAATTTCTAATGGGCTTGAACGATTCATACTCCACCGTTCGGGGATCAATTCGGATGATGAATCCTTTACCAGATACACGCAAAGTTCATGGACTGATCCTTCAACATGAGCGTCAAATGGAGGTGACTAACCGAAATGATAACACGCTTACTTCACATGCAATGCAAATCAGACGATCCTCAATTGCAGGACCTTCACAACCACGCAAGTCTCTGAAGTGCACATACTGCGATGGAGACGGACATCTGAAAGATCGATGCTACTTCATCATTGGCTTTCTCGTGGGCCACAAATGGCATGGTAAAAATGTCAAACCCAGAAACCAGCGTTCAGGACCTACTGCTCACAACGTTGAAGCTAATCCACCACCAACCAAACATGCTGATACGGTCAAGCCAATCGCTGATGGTCCAACCTTCACCAACGAGGAGTACAATGAACTTATTGCTATGATTCGCAATAAGAAGGGTAATGGTCAGTTGTTGGTGTTAAGAAGGTCAATGATTTCCTAATGTTCACAGGATGGATCTGGAAACAAATATGTAATTATGTGCTGTAGAATATTTCTTTTCCTATTGTAATTTAGATTCCTAGAATAGCTTAGCATCATTATAGGAAATCTCTTGTATAAAGTTACACCCTCTGACTCAATGAAAATCATTCAGGCAAATATCTTTCTTCCCTATTTTACATGGTATCAGAGTAGGAAGACAAACCCTAGCTCTCTCTTTTTTGCCGTCTCAAATTTTATTTTCTTTGCCATTGCTTCTCATCATGGAGCGCGAGCAATTTCTCTCTGATCTCCAGTTTCAACAGATATTATCTATTATTAACAATAAAGGGGCAAATCAATCCTCCAATCCTAAGGCCAATGCTGCTGGTACTTCTTCAAATTTGTCACAAGCACCGTTGCGCCTCCGTCGATTAATCCTCGATAGTGGTGCAACCGATCATATTACTTCTTCTCCAAATTTGCTTGTCAACAGTCGTCAGAACACTATTTTACCGCCAGTTATTATGCCCAGTGGAGAACAGGCTCCAATCACATCTACTGGAACTTTACCTTTGAACTCTGTTATTTCTTTGAAAAATGTGCTTGGTGTGCCATCTTTCAAGGTGGATTTGATGTCTGTGAGTCAAGTTACAAGAAGTCTCAATTGTTCTGTAACCTTTTTTCCCTCTTGGTGTATTTTGCAGGACTTGACGACGAAGACGACGATTGGTTTGGGTAAACAACGAGACGGACTTTATTACTTGGTCGCATTGGCGTCAGCAACACCGAGCCCTAAATTCAGATCCTCCGCTGCCATTGCTAGCCATCCATCTTGTTCTCATGTCACCTCCTCCACTGACTTGTGGCACCGCCGATTAGGGCATCTATCTTCCTCTAGATTAGATTTTATGGCAAAAAATTTGCTCAATTTTCCTTTCAAATCCAATAATCCTTGTGATGTTTGTGCACTTGCAAAACAATGTCGACTTCCTTTTTCTGCTAGTTCAATTTCGTCTGTTAGACCGTTTGAGTTAATTCACTGTGATATTTGGGGCCCCTACAAAATTCCTTCTTTTTCTGGTGCTAAATATTTTTTGACAATTGTGGATGATTATTCTCGTTTCACATGGGTATTCTTTATGCAGCACAAAAGTGAAACACAACATTTACTTACAAATTTTTTCTCCTTTGTCAAAACTCAATTTGCTGCATCCATTGCTAATATTCGAGTTGATAATGGGGGGGAATTCTCTTCTATGAAAGCTTTTTTTCAACAAAATGGCACTACTTACCAACACTCTTGTGTCTATACACCCCAACAAAATGGGGTTGTAGAGCGCAAACATCGTCATATCCTTGAGTCAGCCCGTGCCCTTCGCTTTCAAGCCCATCTCCCTTTGCGTTTTTGGGCAGAATGTGTTCTCACCGCTGTACATTTGATTAATCGTTTGCCCACACCACTTCTTTCCCAACAAACTCCTTTTGAACGCCTTTATGGCAAGATCCCTTCCTATTCCCATCTTAAGGTTTTCGGGTGTCTTGCCTATGCTACTGATGTGCATGTCCCTCATAAGTTCGCTCCTAGAGCCAAACGTTGTGTTTTCCTTGGTTACCCGGTCGGTCAAAAAGCCTACAAGCTCTATGACCTTACCACTCATAAATTTTTCACTAGTCGTGACATTGTTTTTCATGAAACTATTTTTCCCTATGCGTCCCTTCCATCCATTCCAACACCTCTAGCCCCCGTCCTTCCTCATTTTGTGTCTGACCCTCCTATTTCTGACTCATTCCCTACGACCTCCACAGCACCATTAGAACCGGTCCATCCCGTCCCTCCCTTAGCAATGACCCAACCCGATTCTCCTTCTGCGTCTCCGCATCCAGCCACCTCCACTTTTGATCAACCCATTCCTATCAGCGTCGTTCAGCCCCCTCCCGTCCCTCCATTAGAAATGACCCAGCCAGCTTCTCCTTCTGCGTCTCCGCATCCAGCCACCTCCACTTTTGATCAACCCATTCCTGCCAGCGTCGTTCAGCCCCCTCCCGTACCAGTTTTACGACGTTCTCAACGACATCACAGTCCTCCACGTGCTTTACGTGATTATGTTTGCAACCAAGTAACGTCTCCCAAACCGTCGCCGTCTTCTTCGTCTGGTTCCACCAAAGGTACAAGGTATCCTCTTTGTAACTTTCTCTCTTACCATCGTTACTCACCACAGCATCATTCTTTTGTTGCTACTATTAGTCAGGATGTTGAGCCCAGCTCTTATACCGAAGCAGCTTCCCATTCACACTGGCAGGACGCCATGCAATCTGAATTGGCAGCTTTAGAGGCCAATCACACTTGGTCTCTCACTCCTCTCCCTCATGGCAAGAAACCCATTGGATGTCGCTGGGTTTATAAAATCAAACGTCACTCAGATGGCACCATAGAGCGTTATAAAGCTCGTTTGGTGGCCAAGGGTTACACAAAGTTGGAAGGTATCGATTATCATGACACTTTTTCTCCCACTGCTAAAATGATTACTATTCGTTGTTTATTGGCTCTGGCAGCTGCTCAGGATTGGTCCCTTCACCAATTAGATGTCAACAATGCTTTCCTTCATGGTGATCTCCATGAAGAAATTTATATGTCTCCACCTCCTGGTCTTCAGCGACAGGGGGAGAACTTGGTGTGTCGCCTCAACAAGTCGTTGTATGGTTTAAAGCAAGCTTCTCGTCAATGGTTTGCCAAGTTCTCAACAGCTGTTCAAGCTGCCGGATATGTTCAGTCCAAAGCGGACTACTCGTTATTCACATGTCGGAATGGAAAGTCCTTTACCGCTCTGTTGATATATGTTGACGATATTCTTATTACGGGTAATGATCTCAAGGCTATATCCACTCTTAAGCAATTTTTGCATAGTCGTTTCCGAATTAAAGATTTGGGGGATTTGAAATATTTTCTGGGCATTGAAGTCTCTCGATCAAAGAAAGGTATTTCTATTTCACAACGGAAATACACTTTGGAAATTTTGAAGGATGGTGGAATTTTGGGTGCTAAACCTGTGAACTTTCCCATGGAGCAAAACATAAAGCTCTCTGATACAGGTGAATTGCTTAGAGATCCATCTCAATATAGGCGACTTGTGGGACGCCTAATTTATTTAACTATTACTCGGCCTGATATCATGTATTCGGTACATGTATTAAGCCGATTCATGCATGCACCACGTAGACCACATATGGAAGCTGCCTTGCGTGTGTTGCGTTATTTGAAAAGTGCTCCAGGACAGGGTTTGTTTTTCTCTTCTCAAAATGATTTATCTCTGCGAGCTTTTTGTGACTCGGATTGGGCTGGTTGTCCAATGACTCGTAGATCCACTACAGGTTATTGTGTTTTTTTAGGATCTTCACTTGTTTCTTGGCGAACAAAGAGGCAGAAAACAGTGTCACTCTCTTCAGCAGAAGCCGAATATAGAGCCATGACAGGTACATGCTGTGAGTTGTCTTGGTTACGTTCATTATTGAAGGATTTACGAATATTGCATCTGAAACCGGCATTGCTACATTGTGATAACAAAGCAGCCTTACATATAGCAGCCAATCCCGTTTTCCATGAGAGAACCAGGCATATAGAAATGGACTGCCACTTTATTCGGGACAAAATACAGGATGGTTCGGTTGTAACCAAGTTTGTTACTTCGGCAAATCAGCTTGCGGATGTATTCACTAAACCGTTGGGAAAGGAACCCTTTTCTACCATGATTCGCAAGTTGGGAGTTCTCGACATTCACTCTCCAACTTGAGGGGGAGTGTTAAGAAGGTCAATGATTTCCTAATGTTCACAGGATGGATCTGGAAACAAATATGTAATTATGTGCTGTAGAATATTTCTTTTCCTATTGTAATTTAGATTCCTAGAATAGCTTAGCATCATTATAGGAAATCTCTTGTATAAAGTTACACCCTCTGACTCAATGAAAATCATTCAGGCAAATATCTTTCTTCCCTATTTTACAGTTGGCACATGCAACAGGTATCATTACACCCACTTGTCACATTGCACAACGTGAATCACATTCCAAGCTATGTTGGATTGTGGATGGCGGGGCCACATTCACATTTCTCATTCACCTCTTACACATAATCACACTACGCGTCATCATGAATTTGTGGGCTTGCCCAATGAAGAACAGGCAGAAATCCACAACATTGGGTCTATTAAATTAACAAAAGACTTGTCTCTTGATGAAGTTCTTCATGTTCCCAAATTTCATGTCAACTTGCTATCTGTGAGTAAGTTAACTCGAGCTCTACGTTGTATAATAACTTTTTATCTGAATTTTTGTGCTGTGCAGGACGTGGATACGAAGAAGACGATTGGCTTGGGCAAGCATTTTGATGGGCTTTACTACCTCACACCTGCCCAAAATCCTCACCTCATTAGTCATGTTCGCCGCACCTCAGATCTTTGGCATCAACGTCTAGGACACCCGTCACCTGCTCCTCTTCAGTCTCTGTCAAAGAATATTCCTGAAATAATGTTTAATTCCCAGCATATTTGTGATATTTGCCCTTTGGCAAAACAAACAAGATTATCTTTTCCTGCTAGTTCAATTCAAACAGTTGCACCTTTTGATCTTATTCACTGTGACATTTGGGGACCCCACAAAACACATACACTCTGGGGCATGTTATTTCTTGACTATTGTTGATGATTTTACTCATTTTACTTGGGTTCATCTTATGACTTTTAAATCCAATACACAACTCATCTTGCAATCTTTTTTCTCATGGGTTAAAACACAATTTAATCACACTATTAAAAATTTTCATTCTGATAATGGTAGTGAATTCTTATCCATGCGCTCCTTCTTCACCAATCTTGGCACCAATTTTCAACACTCTTGCACATATACCCCTAAAAAAAATGGGGTAGTTGAATGCAAACATCGTCATCTTTTGAATATTGGTCGGGCACTCCATCACTTTTTGGGGGGAAAGCCTTCAAACAACATGTTATCTTATAAATCCCCTTGCCACTCCATCACTCTTTCATAAAACACCTTATGAAATTTTACATGGGCATTCGCCTACTTATTCTCACCTAAGAGTTTTTGGGTGTCTTTGTTATGCCACTAATCTTAACCCCAATCACAAATTTGACACTCGTGCTCATCGTTGTTTTTTTCTTGGGTATCCTCTCAACCGAAAGGGTTATCGCGTCTATGATCTTGACACAAATAAATTTTTTGTTTCTTGGGATGTCATTTTTCACGAACACACCTTTCCTTTTTCTAATCTTCCAGTAGAAAATGAAACTGACTCACCTACTCTCCCTATTCCCCAAGCTGAATTGCCTTCCCCAGCCCATATATCTCCAGGCCCGAACCACATTCCCTCACTCCCCACTTCCACAGACCCGGCCCACACCACCTCATCCCTTCTCTCTTCAAACTCGCTCCCAGACCTTTATTCCCCTGTGATCTTACCCACGGCCCCCCCCATCTCTTGCTGGCACCTCTGTTTCCCTGGACCCCTCTTCACCTCCCGTTGGCCTACCATCCGATCTCCCTGCCCCTCCTTTGGTCCCTCTCACTCTCTTTGATAGCCTGCCGATCCCTCACCGATCCGAGCCTATCAAACGACCTATCACTCATTTTCAAGAGTATCAAGCTCATCACACTGTCTTGCTCGCGCCCGACGTTGTCTCTTCATCCACGTCTGGAACCAGGTACCTTCTTCATAAGCACATCTCTTACTCTGGGTTATCTTCCAATTATCGAAATTTTGTGTGCAATGTCTCTCACTTGGTCGAGCCCACTAATTATGAACATGCATGTCGTGATCCCAAATGGGTTGCTGCTATGCAATCTGAACTACAAGCTCTTGATGCCAATCACACTTGGTCTTTGGTCCCTCTTCCTTCTGGCCATCGCCCAATTGGCTGCAAGTGGATATTTCGAATTAAATATCACTTTGATGGCACCGTTGATCGTTACAAGGCCCGCCTTGTTGCCAAAGGGTTCAACCAACGCGAGGGTATTGATTTCCACGACACTTTTGCCCTTGTTGCGAAATTAATCACTGTTAGTTGCTTGTTGTCTATTGCTGATGTTCGTCACTGGCCTCTACATCAAATGGATGTCCAGAACACCTTTCTTCATGGCAATCTCCAAGAGGAGGTTTACATGTTACCCCCGCCTGGTTCTCGTCGACAAGGGGAGTAGGTTGTGTGTCGACTTCACAAGTCCTTGTACGGACTCAAACAGGCTCCACAAAGCTGGTTTCGAAAGTTTTCATCTGCTATTTGTGGTATTGGCTTCAAGCAGTCATGTGCTGATTACTCTCTGTTCACACAGGCTCATGGAAGCTCTTTAACCATTATCTTGCTTTATGTAGATGACATGATCATCACAGGAAATGATGAAGAGGCCATCTGTAAACTGAAGCACTTTCTTGGCAGTCAATTTCGAATCAAAGATCTCGGACCCTTGAGATACTTTCTTGGTGTTGAGGTGGCACGATCAAAATTTGGAATTTCTATTTGCCAACGGAAGTACACCCTTGACATTTTGGCAGAAGCTGGATTACTTGGAGCCAAACCAGCCAAAGTTCCTATGGACCATGATCTGTTGTTGTTATCTACAGGGGAGTTACTCAAAGATCCTACTCAATATCGTTGGTTAGTTTGAAAGCTGATTTATCTCATAATTACAAGACCAGAAATCACTTATGTAGTCAACACCCTCAGTCAGTTCATGCAAGAACCTAGACGTCAACATCTTGATGCAGCATACCGTCTTCTTCACTACCTAAATGAAGCTCCAGGTCAAGGGTTACATTTTCCTTCCCAAAATCAATTAAAGTTGATTGGTTATTGTGATGCAAATTGAACTAGATGCCCAATCACACGCAGATCAGTCACAGACACTACTACAAAAAAGGAAAAACACGACGGGAATTCACCGTCGTGTATTCTGTTTTCAAATGGTCGTGGAATCCACCGACATATTTTCCATAACCAAACCACGACGGTGAATAACCGTTGTTGTTAAAACAAAAAACGTCATCAAAAAATAAAAACCGACGTCTTTGTGCTACAAAAAGACATAAAAAAACAGTCGAGGATGAGAATAGACGACCAACTCCAACAAAAAAAACGTCGTTAAAAAGGAAACAGATGACATATATTAACAGCACATGGCCGCAAGATAAACATACAATGACGAGAACTAAAACTTAACGCCGTTAAATAAATATTTAATGACAAATATAAATATGACGTCTTTACAATCATAATAGACGACGTTATTGACACCTACTATGTCACAACATTTCCCACAACCGTCGTAAAATAAATTTTCCACTTCGATTTTTCTATGAATTATGACGTGGAAATAGATGTCAGGGTCATTACTTACGACGCATGTATTTACAGAGACGACGTTGAAATGAATAAATAACGTCGGTTCCAAATAAATGAGAGCCGTATTACAGAATTTATACGTCATATTTTGAAAATAAACGACGTGAAAAAAGATGGTGTCATTAATTACGACACAGTAATTTATAATGACGACGTTGTAGTCTATATACAACGTCGTTACCATTAAAAAGACCGTCGTCTTTAATAATTTATACGTCTTCATTTAAAAAATTGACGTCGTCTAATTCATATATCTTAACGTCGACAAGTTTAATGGACTTCAAATACCGTTGTAAAATAAATTTTCCACTTCGATTTTTCTATGAATTATGACGTGGAAATAGATGTCAGGTTCATTACTTACGACGTATGTATTTACAGAGACGACGTTGAAATGAATAAACAACGTCGGTTCCAAATAAATGAGAGCCGTATTACAGAATTTATACGTCATATTTTGAAAATAAACGATGTGGAAAAAATGATGGGGTCATTAATTACGACACAGTAATTTAGAAGGACGACGTTGTCGTCTATATACAACGTCGTTACCATGAAAAAGACCGTCGTGTTTAATAATTTATACGTCTTCATTAAAAAAATTAACGTCGTCTAATTCATAAATCTTAACGTCGACAAATTTAATGGACTTCAAATACCGTCGTGAATTCATCCTTTTCCACTTCGTTTATGAAAGAACATGCGACGTGGTAAATTCATGACGACGTCGTCTTTTGTAACGTTCAGGTTAAAGTTCTCGTCTTTTAGACGTCGGTATTATGGGATTGGAGTCGTGTTATTTTGAATTACATGGCGGTTCTTTATGCTTGTCCGACGTGTTATCCTGGATAATTGTTTCACAATAGCGTCGTGGTTCTTCATTGTTACTTTGCTTTAAGACGTCGGTAAATATATTGCGGTCGTTGAATGCTCCAAAACGTCGTTATTTATTAGAACAGACGTTTGTTTTTCACATTTTTATCAAAACCGTCGTGTTTGTAATCTGGAACCAGTAATTTTGTACTGATTGTTTTGTGGCCAAAACCTGTATAATGAAAGTGAAGAAATCACATTACAATAAATTACAAAATTAATGTCATACACTGCCAATTACATAAAGCATCATTCAACCCATATATCTTCACACCCATCTCGAATATTTTGACTCCCTAACTCAACCACCACTTCATCAAATGTGTCAACATTTGGCATCCCCCTAGTAAATGGCTCACACTCAATTCTCACATCACCTAAGACATCATCACCAATAACATCATTATATTCTCTATTAGGCATTGATAACACTACCGACCAACCACGATGCATCGGGTCGTCAACAAAAAATACTTGTTTGACTTGAGAAGCCAAAACAAATTGGTCATTCCTATGTCCAATTTTACTCAAATCTACAAGGGTAAATCCAAGTTCGTCCACTACAAGACCAGAAGTATTATCAATCCAATCACACCTAAAGACTGGGATTGTAAACTTTTGGTAGTCAAGGTCCCAAATTTCTTGAAGACACCATAGAAACCCATATTTGAGAGAATTGGGTTTTTATCCTTGGCACTAGCAACTTGCATAGTATGTGCAAGTAAATAAACTCCACTATTTTGAGTTGTCCGCACATCATCTTGTGCCTTGATGTTGAATTTAATACCTTTAATGAGATAGCTCCTATATAATGGCACTGCCATGTTTGGACCAGCTGCTAGCCACCTTAAATTTTCTGATACGCCATGATTGTCTTCCTCATTAAGTTCACTTTGAACCTGCAAATTAATCATAACTTAATTCAATCTAACATAGAAAGAAGAAAATTAAAAGTCCAATATGTTATTCAATAACATATACCTTGAAGCGTAGCCATTGAATGAAAGTGCTATTGTGCTTATCCTGCAGCCACTTTGTTCTCTTTCTAAATTTTGGATAAGCGGTCTGGATGTGGATCATATGTTGCCTACATGACACACAAAATTCAAGTATTACGGTCCCAAACATATAAGATAAACATAAGAAATAATTTAAAATGGAAACTTAAAGAATAAAACTCATACGTACTCGATATAAGGTAGGACTTCCTCCGTATTCTCCAAGACATATAGATGTGCTTGGTTCAACAGGTCCTGATCAACTACGCTCACTGTGCAACCTGATAATGGCTTTGAAACTCCCATCTTTTGGCTTGAAGGCACTCCAACTGTACTAACATCAGATAAATGCTCGGTACAAAACTCTACAGCTTCTTCAGCTATATACCACTCAGCAATGCAACCTTCGGGACGAGTACGATTCTGAACATACCCCTTTAGCACTTTCATATATCTTTTAAACGGATACATCCATCTAAAATATACTGGCCCACATAGACGAACTTCTCTGACAAGATGTACTACTAGATGAACCATGATATCAAAGAATGAAGGGGGAAGTACTTCTCAAGCAAACACAAAGTAACTACTACATCTTCTTCCAACTTATCTAGCTTGAAAACATCAACAGTCTTTGCACATATACATTGAAGAAGAAGCACAAACGAGTTATTGCATACCTTGCAGGTTTCTCCAAAACAGAACGAATTGCCACAGGGAGCAATTGTTGCATTAAGGTATGACAATCATGTGATTTAAGGCCAAGAAGTCTTGAATCTTGTAAAGATACAAGATTTTTATATTTGAAGAATAACCTTCAGGGACCTTCATACCATAGAAAGAATTGCAAACCTCTCTCTTCTCTGCTCTTGACAAATTCCAAGGCCCGGGAGGCAAACGAGTACGTCTTTCTCCATACTCGGGTTGCAAATCAGTTTTGACCCCCATGTTCAATAAATTTAATCGAGCAGCAATCCCATCTTTATTTTTTCCAGGGATCTCCAGCAATGTACCAATGATACTATCGCAAACATTCTTCTCAATGTGCATAACATCTAGGACATGCCTCACAGGAAGGTATTTCCAATACTCGAGATCAAAGAATATTGATTTCTTCTTCCAACAAACTCTGTCACCATCTTCAACCATATGCAGCACTTCTTCTCCGGTTAATGGCTCAGGAGGCGTGCCATATTCAGGTTTCCCATTAAAAGCTGCACGTTGCCTCCTATATGGATGATTGATCGGTAACCATTTTCTATGCCCAATGTAACAAATTTTGTGGCCATTTTTCAACCTGTGACTAGGTGTATCATCGCCGCATATGGGACAAGCTTTATATCCTTTAACAACACAACCAGATAAGTTTCCATAGGCGGGGAAATCATTAATTGTCCACATTACTGCAGCTCTGAGTGTAAAGTATTCTCCATTATGTGCATCATACACTCCTCCAATCCCATCCCACAAAGATTTTAAATCATCAATCAAAGGCTCCAAGTAGACGTCTATATCATTTCTGGGCTGTTTAGGACCGGAAATCAATAAGGTCAACATCATGAACTTTCGTTTCATGCACAGCCATGGAGGGAGATTATATGTAACTAAGATAACTGGCCAGCAACTATATCTGCTACTTAGAGAACTGTGGGGATTGAATCCATCAGATGAAAGAGCCAATCTCAAGTTTCTCGGCTCATTACCAAACTCGGGCCATTTATCATCAAGAAGTTTCCAAGACGGGGAATCCGCTGGATGAGACATATAACCGTCAATTGATTTTCTAGCAGCATGCCAAGTCAAACTCTTAGCGGTCTCATGTGATCGAAACATCCTTTAAACCTTGGAATTGGAGGAAAAATACCACACCACCTTCGCTGGCACACCCTCTTTCAAGATTGAATCTTTGCCTTCTTTCCACCTTGAGATACCACAATTAGGACAATGAGTTAAATCCTCATACTCCTTCCTATACAAGATGCAATCATTGGGGCATGCGTGCATTTTCTCATAACTCAGCCCCAATGCACACAAAGTCTTTTTTGCCTCATACATAGAGGCCGGTATTGTATTTCCTTCTGGAAGCAAATCGCCTTGAAGTATAAATAATTCTGTAAAACAGACATCACTCATCCCATATTTTGCCTTCAAATTATACAACTTCACTAATGCCGATAACTTCGTGTACTTTCTACAACCAGGGTACAATGGTTGATCTCCATCCCCAATCACATTGGCAAAACTCATAAGGATCAGATCCAAAATCACCAAAATCATTATCATCCATCTCTATTTCTTCAGACACAAAACTGTACCTACTATGGTCATCATCTTCTTCAACATTTCTACTAGCATTAGTAGTTGCTTCCCAAGGTTCTCCGTGAAATGTCCAAATTCTTATAGCTTTGGTCAACTCCATTAAAGTATAAGTGATCCCTTATAATTCCAACCCCAAACAATTTCAAATTAACACATTTAACACATGGACAACGGATATGTGTGGTAGTTAGAAGATTTTCTACAGAAAAGTTCAAAAATGCTTCCACCCCTAAACTCATATGCCTTCGATCTTCTATCCGAGTGCATCCATGACTTATCCATCTCCGACACTATACCCTATTATATATAATAAAGTGAAAAGACAAGCAATGACCATCACTATAGCAGATTATATAAAGTCTAATAGCAAGTAATATACAACAAAGACGACGGTTTTTAAACAAAAACAGACGTATTTGACATATATAGACGACGGATTTTACATCGTCTAATTATAACCACGACGGTAGTTAAATAACACCGTCGTGTATAAGTAATAAAAACGACGGTTTAAAGTAAAAACCGTCGTCGTATGCCTGAAAACGCGTCGATATCCAGTTTATTTTCAAGATCCCAAAACCCTATTAAGAACACAACATAGACATGAAACCAAGCAAGAAACCAACATATACATGAAACAACATATACTAAGCATGAAAACAATAAATCCATTCCCAATTCAACATAACAGAGAGTGATTAAAAGATCCGACAAAATGAAATCCATTCCATATTCAACATAACAGAGAGTGATCAAGAAAACATTAAACAGAAAATCCATGAACCCATACCTCCAACAACATTATTAACAGATCGCAAAACATATACCTAAAACCCTTTAACAAAACAACGTAATATTATTCAATGAATTACAAGGGAAAGAGAGGGTTTGTACTTACAGGTTGGCAGAGCTCACAGATTATGACCAAATTGGATTTGACACAGCCTGGGCCCAACTTTGAATTAGAGATGAAGTGAGAGAGCGAAATGTTATGTTGCGCGAAATCTGAAAATTTAGGGTTCAGGGTTAGAAGTATAAAAATAAGAGCCAAATCTGAAAATTTTAGGTCCCGCGAATATTTTAAAAAAGCGCGCTCTTTAAAACATCGACCGAAAAAAAACAAGCGTCGTTAAATTTAACATTAAACATGACGCTTATTACATTAAGGACGTCGTGGGTAAAACTATGTACGACGCAAAATCAAAAAAGGCGTTAAAACTATGAAAAACCACGTCGGAGTTAAGTAATTAACGACGTTGTAAATAACAATAAACGACTTACGTGTAAACAAAACGTCGTTTAAAAGAGAAACCATGACGGATTTTTCACCATACGACGTAAACTCAATATTCCCACGACTAATCACCGTCGTTAAAAGTAATACCCTAAACTTTAAAACCATAAATTATATATTTGTAAAATTTAATTTTATAAAATTGTTTAGGGTTTTACAGCCTAATATATAACAAACATAAACCCAAAACCCCAAAAATAATACTTTAACCCTAAAAACCCTAATAAATAACAACCCTAAACCCCAACCCTAAACCCTAAACCATCAAAACTATATAAGTGATGCTATGACTCATCAAACAATTTATTTTGGTTGGTCATTTTAAACTTTTATTACACAAACTGCATTTTTTTGGGGTTTAGGGGGAAGAAAATATATCAATGACTTCATAGGAGGTTAAGTTGAATTTTTTGAATTATTTTAAATTTATTTTTAAAATTTTGAATTAAAAATAATAAAATATTCTTATATCAACAACAAACCACGGCGGGGTTAAGTAAACTAACGACGTTGTAAAATGTTAATAAACGACTAACAGGTAAAAAAACGTCGTTTAAAAGAGAAACCACGTCGGATTTTTCACTATCCTACGTAAACTCAATATTTCACGACTCAATCACCGTCGTTAAAAGTAATACCCTAAACTTTAAAACCATAAATTATATATTTGTAAAATTTAATTTATAAAATTGTTTATGGTTTTACATCCTAATAAATAACAAACATAAACCCTAAACCCCAAAATTATACTTTAACCCTAAACCCTAATAAATAACAACCCTAAACCCCAAACCCTAACCCTAAACCATCAAACTATATAAGTGATGCTATGACTCATCAAAACAATTTTATTTTGGTTGGTCATTTTAAACTTTATTACACAAACTGCATTTTTTGGGGTTTAGGGGGAAGAAAATATATCAATGACTTCATAGGAGGTGAAGTTGAATTTTTTGAATTTATTTTTAAAATTTTGAATTAAAAATAATAAAATATTCTTATATCAACAACAAACCACGGCGGGGTTAAGTAACTAACGACGTTGTAAATGTTAATAAACGACCAACAGGTAAAAAAACGTCGTTTAAAAGAGAAACCACGTCGGATTTTTCACTATCCGACGTAAACTCAATATTCCACGACTCAATCACCGTCGTTAAAAGTAATACCCTAAACTTTAAAACCATAAATTATATATTTGTAAAATTTAATTTTATAAAATTGTTTATGGTTTTACATCCTAATAAATAACAAACATAAACCCTAAACCCCAAAAATTATACTTTAACCCTAAACCCTAATAAATAACAACCCTAAACCCCAAACCTAAACCCTAAACCATCAAACTATATAAGTGATGCTATGACTCATCAAAACAATTTTATTTTGGTTGGTCATTTTAAACTTTATTACACAAACTGCATTTTTTTGGGGGTTAGGGGGAAAGAAAATATATCAATGACTTCATAGGAGGTTAAGTTGAATTTTTTGAATTTATTTTAAATTTATTTTTAAAATTTTGAATTAAAAATAATAAAATTTCTTATATCAACAACAAACCACGGCGGGGTTAAGTAACTAACGACGTTTGTAAATAATAAACGACTAAAAGGTAAAAAAACGTCGTTTAAAAGAGAAACCACGTCGGATTTTTCACTATCCGACGTAAACTCAATATTCCACGACTCAATCACCGTCGTTAAAAGTAATACCCTAAACTTTAAAACCATAAATTATATATTTGTAAAATTTAATTTTATAAAATTGTTTATGGTTTTACATCCTAATAAATAACAAACATAAACCCTAAACCCCAAAAATTATACTTTAACCCTAAACCCTAATAAATAACAACCCTAAACCCAAACCCTAAACCCTAAACCATCAAACTATATAGTGATGCTATGACTCATCAAAAACATTTTATTTTGGTTGGTCATTTTTAAACTTTTATTACACAAACTGCATTTTTTTGGGGTTTAGGGGGAAGAAAATATATCAATGACTTCATAGGAGTTGAAGTTGAATTTTTTGAAATTTTTTTAAATTTATTTTTAAAATTTTGAATTAAAAATAATAAAATATTCTTATATCAACAACAAACCACGGCGGGGTTAAGTAACTAACGACGTTTGTAAATAATAAACGACTAACAGGTAAAAAAACGTCGTTTAAAAGAGAAACCACGTCGGATTTTTCACTATCGACGTAAACTCAATATTCCACGACTCAATCACCGTCGTTAAAAGTAATACCCTAAACTTTAAAACCATAAATTATATATTGTAAAATTTAATTTTATAAAATTGTTTATGGTTTACATCCTAATAAATAACAAACATAAACCCTAAACCCCAAAAATTATACTTTAACCCTAAACCCTAATAAATAACAACCCTAACCCCCAAACCCTAAACCCTAAACCATCAAACTATATAAGTGATGCTAGGACTCATAAAACAATTTATTTTGGTTGGTCATTTTAAACTTTTATTACACAAACTGCATTTTTTTGGGGTTTAGGGGGAAGAAAAAATATCAATGACTTCATAGGAGGTTAAGTTGAATTTTTGAATTTATTTTAAATTTATTTTTAAAATTTTGAATTAAAAATAATAAAATATTCTTATATCAACAACAAACCACGGCGGGGTTAAGTAACTAACGACGTTGTAAATGTTAATAAACGACTACAGGTAAAAAAACGTCGTTTAAAAGAGAAACCACGTCGGATTTTTCCATATCCGACGTAAACTCAATATTTCACGCCTCAATCACCCGTCGTTAAAAGTAATACCCTAAACTTTAAAACCATAAATTATATATTTGTAAAATTTAATTTTATAAAATTGTTTATGGTTTTACATCCTAATAAATAACAAACATAAACCCTAAACCCCAAAATTATACTTTAACCCTAAACCCTAATATACAAAAACCCTAAACCCCAAACCCTAAACCCTAAACCATCAAACTATATAAGTGATGCTATGACTCATCAAAACAATTTTATTTTGGTTGGTCATTTAAATTTTATTACACAAACTGCATTTTTTTGGGGTTTAGGGGGAAGAAAATATATCAATGACTTCATAGGAGTTGAAGTTGAATTTTTGAATTTATTTTAAATTTATTTTTAAAATTTTGAATTAAAAATAATAAAATATTCTTATATCACAACAAACCACGGCGGGGTTAAGTAACTAACGACGTTGTAAATGTTAATAAACGACAACAGGTAAAAAAACGTCGTTTAAAAGAGAAACCACGTCGGATTTTCACTATCCGACGTAAACTCAATATTCCACGACTCAATCACCGTCGTTAAAGTAATACCCTAAACTTTAAACCATAAATTATATATTTGTAAAATTTAATTTTATAAAATTGTTTATGGTTTGCATCCTAATAAATAACAAACATAAACCCTAAACCCCAAAAATTATACTTAAACCTAAACCCTAATAATAACAACCCTAAACCCCAAAACCCTAAACCCTAAACCATCAAACATATAAGTGATGCTATGACTCATCAAAACAATTTTATTTTGGTTGGTCATTTTAAACTTTTATTACACACAAACTGCATTTTTTTGGGGTTAGTGGGAAGAAAATATATCAATGACTTCATAGGAGGTTGAAGTTGAATTTTTTGAATTTATTTTAAATTTATTTTTAAAATTTTGAAATAAAAATAAAAATTCTTATATCAACAACAAACCACGGCGGGGTTAAGTAACTAACGACGGTGTGTAACTGTAATAACGACAACAGAAAAAATAAACAGCGTTTAAAAGAGAAACCACGTCGGATTTCACATCCTACGTAAACTCAATATTTCACGACGCAATCACCGTCGTTAAAAGTAATACCCTAAACTTTAAAACCATAAATTATATATTTGTAAAATTTAATTTATAAAATTGTTTATGGTTTTACATCCTAAAATAACAACATAAACCCTAAACCCAAAAAATTATACTTTAAACCCTAAACACTAATAAATAACAACCCTAAACCCCAAACCCTAAACCCTAAACCATCAAACTATATAAGTGATGCTATGACTCATCAAAACAATTTTATTTGGTTGGTCATTTTAAAATTTTATTACACAAACTGCATTTTTTTTGGGGTTTAGGGGGAAGAAAATATATCAATGACTTCATAGGAGTGAAGTTGAATTTTTTGAATTTATTTTAAATTTATTTTTAAAAATTTTGAATTAAAAATAATAAAATATTCTTATATCAACAACAAACCACGGCGGGGTTAAGTAACTAACGACGTTGTAAATATTAATAAACGACCAACAGGTAAACAAAACGTCGTTTAAAAGAGAAACCACGTCGGATTTTTCACTATCGACGTAAACTCAATATTCCACGACTCAATCACCGTCGTTAAAAGTAATACCCTAAACTTTAAAACCATAAATTATATATTTGTTAAAATTTAATTTTATAAAATTGTTTATGGTTTACATCTAATAAATAACAAACATAAACCCTAAACCCCAAAATTATACTTTAACCAACCCTAATAAATAACAACCCTAAACCCCAAACCCTAAACCCTAAAACCATCAAACTATATAAGTGATGCTATGACTCATAAAAACAATTTTATTTTGGTTGGTCATTTTAAACTTTATTACACAAACTGCATTTTTTTGGGGTTTAGGGGGAAAGAAAATATCAATGACTTCATAGGAGTTGAAGTTGAATTTTTGAATTTATTTTAAATTTATTTTTAAAATTTTGAATTAAAAATAATAAAATATTCTTATATCAACAACAAACCACGGCGGGTTAAGTAATAACGACGTTGTAAATATTAATAAACGACTAACAGGTAAACAAAAAACGTCGTTTAAAAGAGAAACCACGTCGGATTTTTCACCATCCGACGTAAACTCAATATTTCACGACTCAATCACCGTCGTTAAAAGTAATACCCTAAACTTTAAAACCATAAATTATATATTTGTAAAATTTAATTTTATAAAATTGTTTATGGTTTACATCCTAATAAATAACAAACATAAACCCTAAAACCCCAAAAATTATACTTTAACCCTAAACCCTAATAAATAACAACCCTAAACCCCAAACCCTAAACCCTAAACCATCAAACTATATAAGTGATGCTATGACTCATCAAAACAATTTATTTTGGGTGGTCATTTTAAACTTTTATTACACAAACTGCATTTTTTTGGGGTTTAGGGGGAAAGAAAATATATCAATGACTTCATAGGAGTTGAAGTTGAATTTTTTGAATTTATTTTAAATTTATTTTAAAATTTTGAATTAAAAATAATAAAATATTCTTATATCAACAACAAACCACGGCGGGGTTAAGTAACTAACGACGTTGTAAATGTAATAAACGACCAACAGGTAAAAAAACGTCGTTTAAAAGAGAAACCACGTCGGATTTTTCACTATCCGACGTAAACTCAATATTCCACGACTCAATCACCGTCGTTAAAAGTAATACCCTAAACTTTAAAAACCATAAATTATATATTTGTAAAATTTAATTTTATAAAATTGTTTATGGTTTTACATCCTAATAAATAACAAACATAAACCCTAAACCCCAAAAATTATACTTTAACCCTAAACCCTAATAAATAACAACCCTAAACCCCAACCCCTAAACCCTAAACCATCAAACTATATAAGTGATGCTATGACTCATCAAAAACAATTTATTTTGGTTGGTCATTTTAAACTTTTATTACACAAACTGCATTTTTTTGGGGTTTAGGGGGAAAGAAGAAAATATATCAATGACTTCATAGGAGGTTAAGTTGAATTTTTTGAATTTATTTAAATTTATTTTTAAAATTTTGAATTAAAAATAATAAAATATTCTTATATCAAACAACAAACCACGGCGGGGTTAAGTAACTAACGACGTTGTAAATGTTAATAAACGACTAACAGGTAAAAAAAACGTCGTTTAAAAGAGAAACCACGTCGGATTTTTCACCTATCGACGTAAACTCAATATTCCACGACTCAATCACCGTCGTTAAAAGTAATACCCTAAACTTTAAAACCATAAATTATATATTTGTAAAATTTAATTTTATAAAATTGTTTATGGTTTTACATCCTAATAATAACAAACATAAACCCTAAACCCCAAAAATTATACTTTAACCCTAAACCCTAATAAATAACAACCCTAAACCCAAACCCTAAACCCTAAACCATCAAACTATATAAGTGATGCTATGACTCATCAAAACAATTTTATTTTGGTTGGTCATTTTAAATTTTATTACACAAACTGCATTTTTTTGGGGTTTAGGGGAAGAAAATATATCAATGACTTCATAGGAGTTGAAGTTGAATTTTTTGAATTTATTTTAAATTTATTTTAAAATTTTGAATTAAAAATAATAAAATATTCTTATATCAACAACAAACCACGGCGGGGTTAAGTAACTAACGACGTTGTAAATGTTAATAAACGACAACAGGTAAAAAAACGTCGTTTAAAAGAGAAACCACGTCGGATTTTTCACTATCCGACGTAAACTCAATATTCCCGACTCAATCACCGTCGTTAAAAGTAATACCCTAAACTTTAAAACCATAAATTATATATTTGTAAAATTTAATTTTATAAAATTGTTTATGGTTTTACATCCTAATAAATAACAAACATAAACCCTAAACCCCAAAAATTATACTTTAACCCTAAACCCTAATAAATAACAACCCTAAACCCCAAACCCTAAACCCTAAACCATCAAACTATATAAGTGATGCTATGACTCATAAAACAATTTTATTTTGGTTGGTCATTTTAAACTTTTATTACACAAACTGCATTTTTTTGGGGTTTAGGGGGAAAGAAAATATATCAATGACTTCATAGGAGTTGAAGTTGAATTTTTTGAATTTATTTTAAATTTATTTTTAAAATTTTGAATTAAAAATAATAAAATATTCTTATATCAACAACAAACCACGACGTTGTAAATAATAATAAACGACTCACATGTAAAAAGGACGTCGTTTAAAAGAGAAACCATGGCGGATGTTTCACCATCGACGTAAAATACATATTCCACGACCGAATCACCGTCGTTAAAAGGTATTAACCTAAACCCTAATAAACGACCTGTTTCAAAAGGACGTCGTTTAAAAGCGAAACCTGGCGAAATTTTCATCAAAACGACGTCCCATGTACGTCCCATCACGTCTAAATCATTTTACGTCGGTTTTTTACATAATTATGTCGTTGGAAAGTTATTAACGCGGTTACGCAATTGTTTTTTCTTTATATTATGAAAACCTCAGCAAATTTTCAGGGAAAAAAAGGAGTATATTATAGACAAAATTTGTACATTATATATTATAGACAAAATTAGTACATATAAAAATATCAAGTGTTCCAAAAATCCTCTAATCCATATGAAGGCAAACAAACTCTGCCCATTCTTTCCTGACTTCATCAATGGCTGCTTGGGGGTATGGCGCTTGATCTTTTCCCTTGGCAAACTGCAATCCATAAACAATGATTATTAAGCTTTACAAAATAAAAAGAAATTCAGTCACAGACGACGTTTTTTTTCATAACCGACGTAGTCTATCGATTCAACGACGGTAATTTTAAATGACCGTCGTTGATAATACAAAAAAACCACATAAAATGTTTCTGAAAATTTTTTTCTTACCTTCTTCTCAAACTCCAAGGAAGGATCCATGATGATGTCCCTCATGAAGCGCATGACATAATACCCGCATTCGACACTGCTGGGTTGCTTTGGTGTGCCTGGCAGAGTTTTCCAAATTGGTGCTTTACGGCCTGGTCTGCCTATGTGGGAATTATAAATTTTTAAAGCACTGTTCACGATGTTTTTGCCCTCCTCATCAACCACACGATTTCCAGGCAGAGGATCCAGAAAATAGACGGTTTCCCTCTTTGCCCTCACAATCAGCAAGACCCAATGACGGCTGCACAAAAATAAAATAAAAATAAAAAAGTCAGCACAAGAAAAAACGAGGTTATTTATAAAAACCGACGTATTATATAGTTTCACACGACGTAATAACTTAATCATCGACGTCATTATAAATTTATCACGACGGTAATTAACTACCGACGTGGTTAGTTGTTTCAAACGACTCAATAAATAAATAACCGACGTGGTTAGATGTTTCAAACGACACAGAATTAGTTAAACAGTTTTATAAGTGAAAATCATACAAACAAAATCATTTAAGGAGACTAACCCTGGATTGTAAGGCATCATGAAAATCTGTTCACCATCTGTTTTCTGAAGTCGACTGGCTACAATTCGTGATCTGTCAGTTAGTGACCCAGCGTTGGCACTAACTTGAGCAGGGTCGATAAAGCCAACCATGCTGCACATATTTGCTTCTCTCAAAAGATCATATAAGCACCTAAATATATAAAACAAACGACGGTTATTTATACACAAACGACGTATTATACAATTTCACACGACGAACTGAAATAGAAACAGACGTGATAACTAATTTATCACGACGGTAAAAAAAGAACGACGTGGTTAGTGGTTTAAAACGACGCAATAATTAAACACCGACGTCTTATGATATAATGTTTGATATTTGATAAGGACAAACCTCATATATACTGCAACCACAGTAGCCCCAATTTCTTCCATGCCTGCAAACTGTGTAATATCTTCATGCAAGACGAAGGTACTTCGATCTGCACCAAACACCTCCTTCTCAATGTTGAAGGTCATGATCTTCCCCTGTGGCTTTAGTGTAGTTTCCACATAACCACAAAGGGATTGTAAGGAAGATGGCACCTCCACATTTGAATAATCAACTACTTCATTACCCTGTTTAAAGAAATAAAGCAAAATAAAATGACGTGGTAATTCATAAAAACGACGGTTTAAATTAAAAAACGTCGTCTGATTATAATTTAAACGACGGTAATTAAAAACCGTCGTTTTAGATAATTTATTACGTCGTAGAAAATAAATTCCGACGTCTAATGTGAAAACAAACGACGGTTTAAAGAAAAATATCGACGTCTGAAATGTGAAAAACAAATTAAAAAGGCAAAGTTATGAGAATATACCTCCTCGTCATGCTTTTCTTCATCTTGTTTTTCTTCTTTCTTCTCTTCATCATTTGTGTCTTCCTTTTTGCCTTCATCTTTTTCTCTTTTTTTCTTCCTTCTTCCCTTCATCTTTTTTTCTCCCATCTTCTGTTCATCTTTATTTTCTTCTTTCTTCTCTTCATCTTGATTATCTAAAGCCCCAGATTTCTGTTTTAAATAATAAAGAAATATATATAAGACAGATTGTACAGAGAGTAAAAAAATTAAAATCAAAACGTCGTGGTAAGGCATAACATAAGACGGTATGTAAGAATTATGGACGTCTTAAAATTATTAAACGATGGTAAATAATAAACGTCGTGGTAATTGTCTATTACGTCGTTAAGGACTAAAACCGTCGTCTAAAAACCACAAAGTACGACGTCTAATGGCGTGTAAAACAAGTAAACTAAATACGACGTGGTATTTAAATAAACACGACGGTTTATTTATAAAATCGTCGTGGTATGGTTTTAAAACGACGGGTTTATTCATAATAACGACGTCTAATGTTTAAAAAAAAACAGAGAATTCAAAGTTCAGATATGTTACCGTTTCTTCCTGCTGTTCCCCATTTCTGGCAGTATCATCCTCTAAATGTAGGGATCTCACTTCAGCCCCAGAACAGCTTGCTTTATCAGACATTGGATTTTTGGGACTTTGCTGTAGACCTTGGTTTTGACAGGGGCTAGTTTTCGGTTTAAGCATGCTTGGATCAAAATTGGGGATGAGGTGGGAAAGCTGACTTAGTAAATGTTCCCTCTCAGCCTCTACTAATTGTTTGGTTCTAGCTTCCATCTTCTTAGTCTCTTCTTGAAGGACAATTCTTACACTTTCCTTCAATTGATCGGCAAACTTTACCCTCTGTGGTCTAGGTAAATTGAAGAATTGCCTAGGGGAAATCCCAGCACCTACCCCTCTTACTCTCCCTGGATGCTCGGGACCCAAAGCCAAGGTCAACACATCATTACTGCCAGTTAACTCAGACTGCCTTCAGCCACTTGTTTTTGCAATTCATCCTAAAACAAAGACATACAAAAAAGTCAGCACAAGAAAACACACGACGGTTATTTATAAACAAACGACGCATTATATAATTTCACACGACGCACCAATATAGAAATCGACGTTATAATATATTTATAACGACGTTAATTAAAAACGACGTGGTTAGTTGTTTAAAACGACGCAATAAATAAACCACCGACGTCTTATGCTGTAATTACAGAAAACAGAGTTGTGATTCCAGATTTAGATCTTTCACGACGTTTTTGAAAACATTTCGACGTAGTAATAACATTAACACGACGAAAAAATTAACCACCGACGTCTTATGCTATAATTACAGAAAACAGAGTTGTGATTCCAGATTTAGATCTTTCACGACGTTTTTTAAAATATTTCGACGTAGTAAAATCATTCACACGACGGAAAAATATAACATAAGACGTAATAAGAATTATACACAGTTTAATAAAAATTTAAAACAGAGTGTGTAGGCTTACAATTAATTTTGCTTTCTCTGCCACCTTTGGATCCGGGATGTTACCATGTTTGTCCTGTCTAGCTTTCTTCCATAAGGTAGATCGATCAATTTCTACCCCAGGCATGGTTTCCTCCAATTGATCCTCCAAACCAGCATATCCTTTTCGAGACAATCGATGATTGTACTCAAGTTTCTCCCTAATCTGTGAATGTTGAGAATGCACAGACTCAAATTCTTTGGATAACCTTGAAGCTACAAAGGCATCCCATTCTGCTTTCTCTATGAATTTATATACTTCAGGGGGTTGGCTTAATTTCTCCCTCTCCTTGATGTATGGAAGGATATAATGCCCTCGTCAGTGTAGACTTGAAATCCTTCCATTTCTTGGCAGCAGAAGATAACACCGAGGTCTTGCCCCCTTGACCTACCACAAAAGCCATGTCAACGGCTTCCCAAATCTGCTCCTTTATATCCTTGGGGATTTCAGCCCATTTCTTGTCCACAAGTGGGACTCTGGAGCGTGCCAACACACCAATGTAGGACTGCATCTCAGTATGTGCAGGGCCACATCCTTTCCCCCTTTTATTGTACTCAACAACTGGCTTGATTTTCTGCAATTTTCTCTTCACAACACGAGGCATTGTGCTCATACCTCGACCTGACTTTGAATCCTCAGAAATTGTTGTCGTGCTGCTTGGTTCTGTCTCAGCAGATGAAACAAACTTCATCTTCTTCAAGGGCTTGTCTTGAGGAGTTACCATTCCAAGCTCCTTACCTCCATTTTTTTTGGTCTTGAGAAACTATGGTTACAGAAAAAACAAACCTGCAAGTGAAAATATTTCGGGAAAAAAATTAGAACACAAACGACGGTTATTTATAAAATACGACGTATGATAAGATTTTACACGACGTAATAACATAACATCAGACGTAATAAATGTTTAAAGAAGAAACAATATAAATTTTAAACAACGACGAAACAATATTAAATAAGACGTAATAAGAACTTATTACGGCGATATTTACACGACGTCGTGATATTCATATTAACACGACGTAAATATTAATATAACGTCGTGTTATGGATATTCACACGACGTGAATAATAAGCTACCGTCGTATTTATAAGAAACCAAAAACATTTTTCTTTCTCTGTGAATGTTTGATTGCAGGTTTAATTTCTCTGAAACATGGTTTTTGTTTTTCCTAATTTGATAAAATACAAAGAAAAGAAAGAAAGCTTTGGCATCTTTTTATAGACGACGGTATCTTAGTATAACGTCGTGGTATGAACATTCACACGGCATCCATAATAAGATACCGTCGTCTATATAAGATACCAAACCCTACTTTCTTTGTCTTTGTATTTTATCAAATTAGGAAAAACAAAAACCATGTTTCAGAGAAATCAAACCTGCAATCAAACATCACAGAGAAAGAAAAATGTTTTTGGTTCTTATAAAAACAACGTTAGCTTATTATTTAAAACGACGCTAGGATGACTGACGAACCGTCGTGGTCTACATATTTAACCACGTAAATAAGAAGCTACCGTCGTCTTATTTAGTTGAATTAGTTGTGTTCAAAGTTGGAAACTTTCCCTCTCTGTCTGTGTATTTTATCAAACTTGGAAAGAATAAAAATGATTTTCGCCAGAAAAAAGGTAAAAAGATTTTCAAAACAAAAACCGTATGAGCATGCAAAATAGCAACAAAACTAGTGAGAAATGAAAGCTTACCTTTTGCGTGCAATGAAAGCTTTCTCTCGGATTTTGGTGTTTAAGTTCAGAGGCGACGACGAAGACAAGAGGAAGACGATGAGATACTCTGACAGTGCTTTGACAAGGAAAAAAGACGAAAAGTTTTATCTGGGAGATTGGAATTTTTTATCGGGTTTGTTAACAGTGCATGTGTAAGTCAGGTAGACGAAAAGTTGTATATGTATACAAACCGTTTCATAGTAATAAGACGGCGGTTTACATAGAACGACGACGTATTAATAGACAAACTACGACGATAATTTGAACTTATGACGTGGTACATAAATACGACAGTAGTGTTGTAGGTACCGCCGTAGTAAACTCCTAAATAAAAGTCGATAACTCAATATCTCGCGTCATGGTAGAAATATTTAACACGACGGTTTTTTTAAATTTACGACGTTTATTTTTATAATATACGTCGTTTTATTGTAATATACCGACATGGGTAACACTAAACTAAAACGACGTATTATTTTTTTCGCGACGTGGATTCGTTTTTAAACGTCGTTATGTGTAATATAACCGACGTGGATTTTATTTTTTTTATTATAAATATAATTTTTTTCCCCTTTTTCTTATAGTTTATTTTTCAAAAACAGTGCCTTATAGATATAGTTTTTTTTCCCGAGGAAATTAATGTTCTAGAATTTGTAAAGTTTCTTTTCTAGGTGACTGATTTAAATAAAATAAAAATATAAAACAACGACTGTTTTTGTTATACCGTCGTCTTTTCTTGTCGTCTTAAGTAAGAATAAAACGACGTAATGTATTTGTTACCGACGAGGATTATTTTTGTTAAACGTCGTTATGTGTAATATAACCGACGTGGATTTGGTTTTTTAATTATAAATAGGGTTTTTTTTCACGGGTTCTTTCAGTTTTAGTATTCGATTAGGGTTTCAACTTCTTCTTGCCCCTTTCTCTGTCTCACCTCATCTCTTGGGAGGCAATTGTTTGAATGTTGGTTATCTGTGGCTGATTGCAAATCACCAATTTTCAATAAATTGTCTCTCTGATTGCAAATCTGTGGTTGCCGTCGTGAAGTTTTAGGAGGCAATTGTTTGGATGTGAATGTGTGTGTGCGTTTGTGTAATACACAAACGCACACACACATTCACTTCCAAAAAATTGTCTCTCTGATTGCAAATCTGTGGCTGCCGTCGTGAAATTTTAGGAGGCAATTGTTTGGATGTTGATGTGTGCGTGCGTTTGTGTAGATACACAAACGCACACATATCATCAACTTCCAAAAATTGTCTCTCTGATTGCAAATCTGAGGCTGCCGTCGTCAAATTTCAGAAGCAATTTTTTGGATGTTAATGTGTATGTGCGTTTGTGTATCTCAAAGACACAAATACACATACATCATTAACCTCTAAAATATTGTCTTTTTGGTAAGATTATGATGAGCAACAGAGTTCCATCTTGTAAGATTTCCTAACCCTTGTGATCTCAGAATAATCTGATTATGTCGGCGGTTTTCTATATAAACCGTCGTGGTTATTTCAATTCTTGTCATTAAGTAGATCTACCGACGTAGGATAACAAAATCCAAGAAATAAATTGTTAAAAAAATTCTTATTTAGACGACGGTTTAAATATAATGTATGACGTATAAAGTGGACAAATACGACGTTAAATTGTATAATACGTCGTTAAATGAAAACCCCAACTTGGTAAGATTTAAAGATGTCGTCGTAGAAATACGAGAAAGACGTCGTTATATTTACCTTTGCCGTAGTTGTACATTAATTTAATACGGCGGTATTTTGTATTTTACCGCCGTGGATTTATTTGTAATTATACGGCGCCTTATACGAAAACTTGGTCGTGTTAATTTCTGGGTAAAAGCGACGGCTTTTTTTGAAACCGTCGTCTTTACTTTCTACGTCGGTCGGTTCATAACTTCCGCCGTTATTTGTTGGCTATGATTTTACCACTTGAAAATCCTATTTCAATAAGACGTCGGTTTTTTAATTAAGTACGTCGTGTTTTAGGAACAGCCATTTGAAACTCCATTTTTTAGTTGTCTAATGTGTTATTACACGGCGATTTTATAAAACCGTCGTCTTTTAAAAAACAACGACGGTTTTCACTTAGACCGTCGTGTTTTTCTGGTCGTCTTTTTTACTTTTTGTAGTAGTGAGATTATTGCATATTTCTTGGTAATGCGCTTGTGTCCTGGAAAAGCAAGAAACAAGTTACAGTTGCACGATCATCAGCCGAAGCAGAATATCGTTCAATGGCTGCAACCACATGTGAACTAACTTGGCTAAGATATATGTTGCAAGATCTGCTTGTGAATCATTCTGAACCTGCAAAGTTATTTTGTGATAATCAAGCTGCCTTGTATATTGCAGCAAATCCAGTGTATCATGAACGAACTAAACATATTGAGCTGGATTGTCATACTATTCGTGAAAGAATAGAGAAAGGAGAGATCAAGACAGGATACGTGCAAACTGGGGAGCAGATAGCAGATATATTTACCAAGCCACTGAAGGCACCCATCTTCAGTTCGCTTCTTGGCAAGTTGAGCATTAGTGATATCCACTCTCCAACTTAAGGGGGAGTGTTAAAGGAAAGAAATATGTCAATGATTCTATATTAAGTGAGAAATATGTCAATGATCCTATATTGATAGATTGTAGGAATAGATTGTAATTAGCTTAGAATTAGCATGTATTTACCTAGAATAGAAGTATCAACCATGTATAAAGATCTGAGTATGTAAGCAATACAGATATTCAATTCAATAAAATATCAAATTGTTTCAAAGAGGTCGGAGACTATTAGAATTCCTTGGTTTTGGAACTGTTTTGAACTTTTGAGGCACATCATAATTTGGATAACCCTACAGCAGCTGCAAATATGATGGGGCTGCAAGTAATTTAGATACTTTTATTATCTTTGAAATTTTTGTTGGTTTGAGATTTCTGTTTTCTACTTTGTATGAATGTATCCTTGTGAGTGTTCGCGTAGAAAGAATATGCACATGGTAGCGGATTGCTTGAGGCGTGTGAATTCTCAGCTAATTTGAACTGCGTTTCCACTTTGACCACGACTTTCACCGTTGCCCGGCGAAAAGTCTATATTACCCCTAAAAGATAAATCATATACTTGGCACAAAAAAAAAAGACTAAAATGCAACACCTAAAGGAATTTAAGGATACATAATTTAATAATAATTGAATCCGTGCATAGTTTAAGGACAGTTTGATAATTAGAGCACCTCCACCGCAAAAGGCAAGGGCAAGACTAAGGCAAGGCAAGGGCAGATACTATTCACATGAATAGTGTCAGCCTTTCCTTCTTTGGTTCTATCCCAAAGGACAAGGGCATGGGCAAACACTATTCACTTTACTTTATTTTGTATTTGTTTTTTATACTTAACTATTAATTTTGATAGCTTTTCAAATAATATTTTCGATTGCCACGTGTCACTATTTATTATAAAATTCTCACCTAAAATTTCAAATAACATTTTCGGATAAAATTTTCAAATTAAATTTTCAGTTAAGATTTTCGGTTGCCACGTGTCCATATTTATTATAAAATTCACATCTCACACATACAATTGAAATACCTACTCACTCATCATACAATTGAAATACTCTCGGTCCTCATAGTCTGACACAATGGAGTACAAGGACAACTCCATCATTGGCGGAGGCGGTTCCACCGGATCACGACATGGGGGAGTATTTTCCTTCGAAGGACGTAATAGTGACATATTTTCGACATGGAATGCACCACTGGAATTGACTGTGGGCATTGTTCACTTGAGGAGCCATGTGTAATGGTTTTCCACTTTTTTGTTTTCCCTTGAATAATCTATTAAAAAAAAAGGAAATTGGAAATGCAAGAAATATATATATATATATATATACAAAAATGACATTAAATTGAATAAAACTGAAAATAGATACATTTTTTTACCTCATCGCCAAGATTTTGACCTCTTTGAACGTTTTTCCACAACCCTCCGGCTTCGATGGAAGAGACCATTTGTATTTTTGCACAAATGGAATTTTGCAGTAGAAAATTTGGTGTGGAAAGTGAAAATATTGGAATGGGATGAATTTGTATGAAGATTTGGTGTGAAAAGTGAATAATATTAGTAGGTATTTATAGAAAAATTTTCCAGAATTTTTTGATATATTTTTTCAATTTTTTTAAGCTAAAAATTGGACAGCCGTTGGATTGGGCAAGATTTTTTGATTGTCGGAGGCTCCAAGAGAAGCCACGTGGCTTATAACCTTTGGGCTATGTGGGCTGGTGGGTTAGCGCTGACGTCAGTAGCTGATTTTCAAATTTTTTTTTACTGTTGGAGCGTGTATTTCGAGGCGCAGGAAACATTAAAAAAAAAAAAAAAAAAAAAAAAAAAAAAAGGCGTTGATGTCAGCCGCCCGAGGGCAACAGCCGAGTCTGGTGTGACCCAGGGCTTGGGGGGGGCGGGTGCCAGGGGCAGACCTGCTGCGCTGGAGGTGCCCTTAGGATTGTTCTTCTTTGAGTTGAAAATGTTATGTCGTTGTCTTCAAAAGAAGAGAAAAGAAAAGAAAAAGGATGAGAGTCCAACTCCTTCGGATTTTACTGTTTGGATTGGGCATTTACTCCGCCAGCAAAATGTCAATAATTATTTTTAAAAACAATCCAATTGTGTAAATACGAAAAAAGAAATGCTAGTAAATTTTCAAAATCAGTTGGGATTTTAATTGGATTTACAAATGCGGATAAGATATAAGTTAATAGAGAGTCATTATCTAATTAGTATTAGTAATCCTGCTAGACACAGGACGTTTTGAACTATAAATACCTCATCAAACCCACCTAATTGCGTACGCTTAATTCCATCGATCCCTCCAAGTTGTTTTCTCTTCGTTTTCTCTGGTTCAGTTTTTATTGCTTCAAGTGCCCTAGTTTTCTTAGCTTTCTAAGATTGATTTCTGAGTGAAAGAGAGAGAAAGAGTTAGAAGAAGGTAACAATGGCTGGGGGCGGTATAGCTCCATCGAGTGGTGGAAAACAATACCCTGGTAAACTCACAGCTAGGGTTCTTATAACATGTATTGTTGCGGCTACCGGCGGTCTGATTTTTGGGTACGACCTTGGAGTTTCAGGTATGTAACATTTTTTTTTCACAACCCAGTTTTATTTTATGTATATATGCACCTTTTAATTTCTAGAATTACCATGTACTTATAAGAATATAAATGATATCGAATTTGATTCGGTGATTATGCAGGCGGTGTTACATCCATGGACTCTTTCTTGAAACAGTTCTTTCCAGCGGTTTATCAGAAAGAGTCTTCGATCAAGCCTTCCGACGATCAGTATTGCAAATTCGATAGCCAGACACTTACTCTTTTCACATCTTCGCTATATTTGGCTGCTCTGGTTGCATGCGTTTTTGCATCAACTATAACCAGAGTGTGTGGTCGCAGGCTCACAATGATCTTGGGTGGAGTTCTTTTCTTGGCTGGTGCCTTGGTCAATGCCTTTGCTAATGCTGTTTGGATGCTTTATGTTGGTCGTCTTCTTCTTGGTTTTGGTATTGGATGTGCCAATCAGGTACTCATGATTATGATTTTCTCTTTTGATACATAGATTATACTTTATGAATTTTAGGTTATTCGCACTCCCCATTTTGTTATTTTTCCTACTTTTTACAAACCCTAATTCATTTTTTTAATTCTTTTTGCCCAGTCTGTACCGATCTATGTCTCTGAAACAGCCCCATCTAAGTACCGTGGTGCTCTCAACATGATGTTCCAATTGTCGATCACAATTGGAATCCTTGCTGCTGGTGTGCTTAACTATTTCTTTGCCGAGATCAAAGGCGGTGGTGGATGGCGTTTGAGTTTGGGAGGTGCTGCAGTCCCTGCCATTATAATCATAGTTGGAGCATTGTTTTTACCTGATACACCGAACTCCTTGGTCGAGCGTGGGAAGCATGAGGAAGCCAAAGCTCAGCTTCTTAAGCTCAGAGGAGTTCCTAATGTTGATGAGGAGTTTAATGATCTAGTTGCGGCCAGTGAAGTATCCAAGTTGGTAAAACACCCATGGGTTAGCTTGTTGAGCAGGAAATATAGACCCCAGCTTGTATTTGCAATCGGCATCCCCGCCTTCCAGCAACTCACCGGCATGAACGTGATCACGTTTTATGCTCCTGTCTTGTTCAAAACAATGGGGTTTGGAAGCAGTGCTTCTCTCATGTCAGCTGTCATCACCAATCTCGTTAATGCTTTAGCTACATTTGTCTCAATTCTCACAGTTGATAAGGTTGGAAGGAGGAAGCTTTTCTTACAGGGTGGTTGCCAAATGCTCCTCATGCAGGTATGTTAAAGAATATACAAGTTCCTTTTTTATTTCCCTCTTTGTTTTATTTTCTTCTATTTTTATGGTTTATCCTTCAATTTCATACCAAAAAATCACAATTTAATGTTTTTTTTTCTTTTCTTTTTCTTTTGTTGGCATTTTTAGGTGGCTGTTGGAATTGCTATGGCTGTTAAATTTGGGGTCAGCGGCAACCCTGGAAAGTTGACACTAGGTTTTGCAGTTCCCTTGGTGCTCTTGATCTGTGTTTACGTTGCTGGATTTGCCTGGTCATGGGGACCTCTAGGATGGTTGGTGCCCAGTGAAATTTTCCCACTTGAAGTAAGGTCTGCTGCTCAGGCTATCAATGTCTCCGTCAACATGCTCTTCACCTTTGCCATAGCCCAAGTCTTCACAGCCATGCTCTGCCACATGAAGTTTGGCTTGTTCTTCTTCTTCTCAGTCTGTGTGGTGGTGATGAGCATTTTTATCTACAAATTGTTGCCCGAAACGAAAGGAGTTCCAATTGAAGAAATGCACACTGTGTGGGAGAATCATCCATTTTGGAGGAAATATGTGGTTAAAGATGAAGGCATTGCCATGGGCAAGGGCAAGGGCGGACAGAGTGCCTAAAGTTTGTTTTTGTTTTAGATTTTCTCTATGTTCTATAAATTTTTGTAAACTTTTTAGGTTTAGTTTCGATCTGAAAAATTTTGTTGGATATTGGATTTCTTTTTTGATGTGTCTGATTGGATTAAGCTTATTTATTTTAAAATTGTCAACTGTGCCCTAGATGCCCAACTAATGCTATCCCAATTGATCATGTGATAATATTTCATTGGTTCATATATATCTAGTCGTTTGGAAACTCATTAATAAGAAATTTTAATTTAGGGGCGAGATCACTCAAATAAAACTCCTCTGTGAGTCTTTTATCAAACTCATAGAAATGAAAAACTACTCATTAAAAGAGAAAATACGTTGCAAGTCGTTCAAATGGTTAAAAACATTTAACCGTACACCTATTAAAACCGAAGTCAGAAAATAAATCTGTCATGGTTAAATCAATGAGGACGGAATGCATGTTGGCCTTGAATTATTTATTTGGCATCAATCGATCAAGTTAACCTCTCTTGGACTTGAAAAAGAGTTGGGCGGTTACACTTTTGAGGTAGTAACAAATGTCGGTGCGCCATTATTTTTTTGAGGATTTATGAATGGTCTCTAGACTCACGCTGATTGTTGTTGTTGTA